ACGTCTGCTTATATGCAGATGCGGGCCACACCCCCAAGGAGACTCCCTTTCATCTGATTGGCTGCTCACAGTATATTCAATCATGGGAGTGATTATGTTAAAACACAGAGAATCATGGCCCAGCCAAGTTGATACACAATCTTAACCATCACATACCTCTTTAGAGAGCTTTATCATTTCTGTCAAATAATGTCATAATAGCAGAACCAGAATCGAATCTGAAGTTTGCTAACTTTCTCTTGGCGTTGTTATGTGTGAGATGATCTCCAGCTTCATCTCCTGCCTTTTCCCACCTGAGCACTCTAACCTCTGGCCATATTTTCTTTCAACAAACATTTATTCTGCTGTATGTGAAACACTGTGTTAGATAGTGGGTAAGTCCAGTCAGCCCATTTTGGAGTTTGGAGTTGATGGTACAGTGGGAAAGACAGCTAAGTAAACACGATTAAAATTCAGTGAAATAGGAAGCTCAGCAACAGCATTAAACTATTCAGGTGGGGCATCACCTGAGCTTGGACTTTGTGCGGTGTCTAATTAAGTGGAAAATTACTTTGAAGTTCCTGGAATGTACTGTACTTCCTCTCATCTCCTGATCTTTGTGCAGTGTTCTGTTCTTTGAATAACTACTTCTCTTCATTGTCCCCAACCTCCTTACACAGTGCTTTCTCTAAGTTATGTCTTACTCAGTCTACAGATTATACACTCCATTTATTCCATATCTATGCCACAGTACTTAATGAATGAATGATTGATATGATATACTGTTAAGTTGGAAAAGTGCATAGCTTTGATTTATATATAGAGTATCAATTGATAATGTACTAGAGTTTTAGAAGAGATTTAGCCTAAGTACTTTTTAATTGTCCTCATTAACTGGTTTCTGTAATTTTTTATTTTTTTAGCAGAATATTGCACATTTTAAATAATTGAAACAGTTTAGTTGTCTTCACACACATGTTCTGTGTAAGTGAGGAGGCCTGGAGGCTCGGTGACTAAATGCTCAGCTGCTAACTGAAAGGTTGATGGTTCAAAGCCATCAGCTGCTCTGCAGGAGGAAGATGTGGCAGTCTGCTTCTGTAAAGATCTACAACCTTGGAAACCCTATAATGCTGTTCTACTCTGTCTTATAGGATCACTATGAGTCACAATCGACTAGATGGCAATGAGGTTTTTTTTTTTTTTCTGTATAAGTCACAGTGTTTTTGCTTATAACATATAGTTTACAGTTTCAAGAAATTTGAGTTTCCTTTTCTGACACTTTGTGTTCTCGCTGATAGAAAATGCATTTTTTGCTATTCTTTTGATACATTTTAAAATATATTTTTATTTTCTTTTGCAATTCAACTTGTGCGCCAAAGTTATTGAAAATAAACTATTAACTTTATTTTAAATCATCAATTTATATTTTTAAATAAAATCTACATTTTAAGAGAAATTGTATTAAAACATTGGAAAGAATAAACCCCTCCCTCCCCCCCAAAAAACCCCAAACCCATTGCTGTCAAGTTGATTCTGACTTATAGTGACCCTATAGGGCAGAGTAGAACTGCGCTGGAGGGTTTCCAAGGACCAGCTAGTGGATTTGAACTGCCAGCTTTTCGGTTAGCACCTGAATGCTTGACCACTGCACCACCATAGCCTTTTACTGTAGGTAAAAGATACTTTTCACCTTAGGGTGCAGATACATAAAAACAAATTTATGCTTTATTATTTTATTATAATTTGCACGTTTGGTAGTACACGTGGACAAAATATTGAACAATGCAGGAGGCATCAAAAGAAGATGGAAGGAACACACAGAGTCACTGTACCAAAAAGAATATGGTTGACTTTCAGCCATTTCAGGAGGTAGCATATGATCAAGAACTGATGGTACTGAAGGAAGAAGTCCAAGCTGTACTGAAGGCATTGGTGAAAAACAAGGCTTCAGGAACTGATGGAATACCATTTGTGATGTCTCAACAAACAGACAACAGTGCTGGAGGCGTTCCCTCATCTGTGCCAAGAAACTTGGAAGACAGCTACCTGGCCAGCCAACTGGAAGAGATCCTTATTTGTGCCCATTGCAAAGAAAGGTGATCCAACAGAATACGGAAATGATTGAAAAAATATTAATATCACATGCAGGTAAAATTTTGCCGAAGATAATTCAAATGTGGTTGCAGAAATTCAAGCCGGATTCAGAAGAGGACATGGAACAAGGGATATCATTGCTGATGTCAGATGGATCTTAGCTAAAAGCAGAAAATATCAGAAAGATGTTTACTTGTGTTTTATTGACTATACAGAGGCATTTGACTGTGTGGATCATAGCAAATTATGGATAACATTGTGAAGAATGGGAATTCCGGAACATTTAATTTTACTCTTTAGGAATCTGTCCATAGACCAAGAGGCAGTCATTCAAACAGAGCAAGAGGATACTGCATGGTTTAAAATCAGGAAAGGTGTGCATCAGGGTTGTATCCTTTCATTATACTTATTCAGTTTGTATGCTGACCAAATATTTCGAGAACCTGGACTTTATGAAGAAGAACGTGGCATCAGGGTTGGAGGAAGACTCATAACAACCTGCAATGTGCAGATGACACGACCTTGCTTGCTGAAAGCGAAGAGGACCTGAAGCATGTAAAGACTACAGCCTTCAGTATGGATTATGCCTCAACATAAAACAAAATTCCTCATGATTGGACCAATAAGCAACATCATGATAAACAGAGAAAATATTGAAGATGTCAAGGGTTTCATTTTACTTGAATCTACAGTCAACGCCAGTGGAAGCAGCAGTCAGGAAATTAAATAGCATATTGCTTTGGTCAAATGTGCTGCAAAAGATCTCTTCAAAGTGTTAAAAAGCAAAGATGTCACTTTAAGGAAAGGTGCACCTGATCCAAGCTGTGGTGTTTTCAGTTGCTTCATATGCATGTGAAAGCTGGACAATGAATAAGGAAGACTGAAGAAGAATTGATGCCTTTGAGTTGTGGTGTCGACAAAGAATATTGAATATACCGTGGACTGCCAGAAGAACAAACAAATCTGTCTTGGAAGAAGTACAGCCAGAATGCTCCTTAGAAGCTAGGATGGTGAGACTTCGTCTCACATACTTTAGACATGTTATCAGGAGGGACTAGTCCCTGGAGAAGGACATCATGCTTGGTAAAGTAGAGGGTCAGCGAAAAAGAGGAAGACCCCCAACAAGATAGATTGACACAGTGACTGCAACAATGGGCTTAAACATTGCCGTGATCATGAGGATGGTGCAGGACCTGGTAGTTTTTCGTTCTTTTGTACATAGGGTTGCTATGAGTTAGAACCAATTTGATGGCACCTAACAACAATGTGGTAGTGTAGTAAGATATTAAAGTAACCATAGCTCACAAAAGTGATAGAAAAGAGAAAAAGGTGGTAACAGTATTTAGGAAAGAAGAATTGAAAAAGAGGCAATGGCTTCATCGAGATACTAGTAAATTTTTTTATCACTAGTTTTAACAATCATGTATGAGGATCTCATATTTAGTCATTGCAGTCACTGTACCCTGCATTATATTTTACTTTTATGAATCATTTTATAACTTTTTATTAACTTTACATATTTAGGACACAGGAGAAGATATAAAGCCGTATTTTTATTTTTTCCCATTATATTAGATCCATCTCTGTTGTGGAGACCAGTCACTTGGAAGCACAGAAATACCACTAAGTGGATTACTCAAGAAGGGCAGTGCAGAAATCAACCACCGCCCAGTCACAGTTGAGGGTGCTTTTACCCTTGATCCCCCAAACCGAGCCAAACAAAAGCTTGCACCTATTCCTGTGGAGCTGGCCCCAACAGTGGGAGTGTCTGTGGCTCTGCAGAGAGAAGGCATAGATGCTCAGGCAAGTAGTGACCCTCCTTCCCCACCCCTACCCCCACGCAGCTGCTCCAGTGTTGCTGAAGATTATGCACAGAAGTTGAATCTCAGAGGAGTTACCTAGCATGAGAAAGTATTTATTACTCTTAATTAATGGCCTAGAATATATGATACCTTCTTTTTGAAAAGGCCTTTCTGAGAAGTGCTGTGGCTTCAACTGCTGTGTTTATTTTAAATGATTGTATTCAGAGACTATTTAGCCTTTTGGGATATTCTCTCATGTAATAGAAACCATTGTCCACCTTGTATTCAATGACTATGGTAGAAGAAGAACTCTGGTAAACAACATTTTTAGACCTAGTTTCTGGGAATCTGCACTAATGATATCTTTTTGGTTGACACAACTTGAGTTAAGGTTCTTGGTTCATTAGTGCTTTCTAGTACTCACACTCTCTTTAGCCAGTTTTTTTTTTTTTTTTTTAACAGCGATGGGAAATTACAATGTTTTGATTATCAGTTATTAACAGTATATTCCACCCCTTTTACTGCCTCCACAGTCAACCTGAGTGTCCTTTCAAAGAACTGATCTTTATGTAGATTGTGAATGAAAAATAGAAAAAATGAAGTGAGATTTTAAGATATACATGCATATACTTCTAGAGGGGAGTAGAGCAAATGCAAGAAAGAAATCATAGTGGACATCTTTTCTTTCTTTTCAAGAATATAGACCTCCATTATCCTGTCTTGGTAGGAGTAATCATTCCAGGGACACGTGCCTGACTTCTTTTCTAGAATATCCTTTTTTACCCATTAGGATGAATTTTGGTTCTCAGCTGTGGATATCATATATCCTTCCTGTTCATCTTCCTTTTTCTGGTCCAAGATCCTATAAGAAAATTTGCAAATTATGAAGAAGAATAGACTAGGAGTATCCAAACTGGGAAAGCAAGCTTGTATTTTTAAAAAACAACATCAAGTTTTTTGCTTAATTATGAAGGAAAGTTCTTTGCAAATTATGCTTTATTTAAAAATTGTTTTTAGTCTTTAATTGACTTAAAGACCCAGAATGAATATGAGCCAGAACATTCAAAGAAGAGAGTTTTAACCCCCATAAAGGAGAAGACACCTACTGTGCCAAAATCACCAAGTGTATCCCCTGCACCGCCTCACAACCCGTCACCTCCAACAAAAGATGATGCAACAGAAAGTGAAGTGGAAAGCTTACAGTATGATAAAGACACAAAACCAAATCCAAAGGGTAAGGTGTTGTTTTTACAGATCTTTTAGGTATCAGATTTTGCAGCCATTAATATATGACTGAGACCTTTAAGGAGCCCTGATGGCACAGTGGTTAAGAGCTCAGCCACTAACCAAAAGGTTGACAGTTGGAAGCCATCAGCCTCTCCTTGGTAACCCTATGAGGCAGTTCTACTCTGTCCTGCTGTGTTGCTATGAGTTGAAATTGACTCGACAGCAGTAGTATGAGAGCTTTCATGAGTTCCAAGTAAAATTTCTGCATTTTTAAAGAGCTAATAATGTGTGGTGATATAAAAATCTTCAATTTAAAGTAATTTCAATCTTTTTAACTTCATAATAGAATTTACTTTTTACAGGTAAGAGACTTTTTCATTTAACTTACACGCTAGAAATAGTAGCCTATTCAAACGAAATTTAAGAATGTAGTTCTTTCAGTGGGCTTTTTAAAATATTAAACTCTCAATATCTTGAATTCATTGGAATTTTAGAGGAAAGAACTACTAGCTGTCTTTTTAACTTGAATCCACAGTCAATGCCCATGGAAGCAGCATCATACTTGGTAGAGGGTCATTGAAAAACAGGGAGATCCTAAATGAGATGAATTGACACAGTGGCTGCAATAATGGGCTCAAGCATAATGATTGTGAAGATGGTGCAGGACCAGGCAGTGTTTCATTCCGTTGTACATAGGGTCGCTATGGATTGGAACCAACTTACGGCCTAACAACAACAAGCTGCCTTTTATAGTAAAATCAATATCACTTTTGATCCTAATGTTAAGAGTGAGTCTGAGAATTCACATCTACCCTGTTTTATAAGTGTAATTAAATCAGTGGTGGATTAGAGTTAGAAGTCCCAGGTGCAAGTCCTGCTTCTGTTACTGAGTAGCTGTATGACTTGTGCTACTCACTAAACATCTCTGGTCTATAATATGAAAGGGTTGGACTAGATATCTCTGTTTTGAAGTTTTAGCTTTTTATTATACCACTTCATATGTGCCTAAAATAACCAAAACTAATTTTTAAAAAGTGGTATTTTGTACCCAAGTAAGTCTCAAATACAACCCTTTGAATGCTAAGTTATATGGTGCTACCTCTTGGAGATAAATTAGTGCCTGCCAGACTGCAGTCATACATTACTGCATCAGTACTGTATGTTTTGCCATATGTGTTAGGAGTAAACACTTTCTTTACGCAGTTCTGTAATGGGAATTAAAGCCTAGATTGTTGCTCAGTTACACTTGATCAGCTACATAATTTTGGACAAATCACTTTAAGATACTTATGCTTCAGTTTATATGTGCATTAAACCAAGTAGTCTGATTTCTTCTTGAAAGTAAATGAGGTGATAATTTTAAAATTGTTGAATAACTTAAGAGAAACTTTCAGCAATTTTTTTTTTTTTTTTTTAATGTTCATTTTAGCCATGAATTCTGTACCAGCTTTGGCCCAGCCAGTGACTACGTCCAATGTTTCAGAAGCAACTTCAGGACAGAAGATTGCTGTTCCAGCAGCATCACATCACTTTTGCTTTTCAATAGACTTAAGGAGTGTCCATGACTTAGAAGTTAGTTTTCCAGTCAACTGTATATTAAGGTGTGATTTGATTTTGTTTCAAGGTATTATTTTCTATGGAGAAATGCCTTTCCTCTGTTTTGAGAGCTGCAGAGAAAGAAATGTCACCAAAGAAGTTACAGGCAGTCCCCAGATTACGAACGAATTCCATTCCTAAGTCTGCCTTTAAGATGAATGTGTATGTAAGTTGGAACAGTTAGATACGGTTCATATCTAACGTCAGCCAAATGTTTGTCTTGGTATATAGTATATAGTGTACCTTTCTATGCATAAAAACCGTTAAACACTTCTAGATACGCTTAAACTTCTTTAACATAATAATACAGTAATAATAATAATGTTTTGATGCAAAGTATTGTCCATTTGTTATTACGAACCATTGTTTGCACCTCAAATTTTTCTTTATATTGCCTTGACTTCCTCTCCATATGAAAAATCTATGTCTATATTTTTTAGTCCCTCTTTTTTGTTTTTATGTTATCATCTTTTACATACTGAGACCTTTGTTTCTCTATTTTTGGTGTTTTACCTTTGATTTATTTTTGTCACTTCCCTATCTGGTTGCTCTGTCCTATGTTCTAGTCTTGGATTGTTATCTGATGTTATTGATTTTCTAGCGAGAGGACTCCCTTTAATTTCTTGTAATTTTGATTTGGTTTTTGCAAATTGCCTAAACTTCTGTTTATCTGGAAATGCCCTAATTTTGCCATCATATTTGAGAGTTTTGCTGGACATATAATTCTTAGCTGGCAATTTTTTTCTTTCAAGACTTTGTATATGTCATCCCATTGCCTTCTTGCCTGCATGGTTTCTGCTGAGTAGTCCGCGCTTAGTCTTACTGACTTTCCTTTGTAGATGACTTTTTGTTTATCCTTAGCTGCTCTAAAATTCTCTCTTTATCTTTGATTTTGGCAAGTTTGATTATAATATGTCTTGGTGACTTTGGGGATCTGCCTCATGTGGGGTTCAGTGAGCATCTTGGATAG